GAGTTTGTGAAGAATACACGCAAGCAAACAGCTGGGAAAACGCCCGTGATGACTATCTGTAAACGTCGTCTTGCTGATTCACCTGCTACATACTGGACATATTTGGAAAACATGCAAATTGGACGATATACAGCGTGGAGTGTGTTAAGGCTAATACGGTTTTACCCTAACGGCTGCGATCCTCCAGGCCCGGTTTCTTAGGAGAAGGCAAGGTCTTGGGAAAGCCAGCTTGTTAGGAAGAGTATATTCTGTACAGAATTAATAGGAGAATAGGCAGTGGGAAATTGACTACCAAACGACCGCACAACCGCAAGCCAGCGGGCGGCATCTGTTGTGAGGTCTGCTCGGCAGTCGTTACATAAGGTCCTGTGTGAGCCGGCCTGTGATTGGCTGTTACAGAGGCCGGAAGCAGCAAGCGTTCCGAAGGTGCACTTTGACTTTAGCTATTCATGACAAGCGTTCACATGTGCACTTCGCGTTGAGCTAGTCACTACAGATACGTTAACCTGTTCCTCCAGGTGCCTCCTTTTAGCTCCCACCACTCAAGACTTGGCTTGATGGTTGTAATGACCCATGACACCACTAACACCATCACTAACACAGCTGGGCTGCGAAAGGAATTAGGCGAGAGAGGCCGCTGGTTCTACGACCGAGATGATTCCCCTATTGTTCGCTCGTTGGTGTGTCTACTGGGTTAGTAGACTTTTAGTGATTTATTTCGCGTAGCTGCACACGTATGAAGGCTCACCGATGCTAACGTGTGCAGGTGCACTGATGTCGGCCTCTGCAACAGCCAATCACATGTTTGTCTGTCTACCTCCGGTCTGGCCACTCACCTTTCAAGGTTGACTCACACAGAAAGCTCCCTATGGCCACTGGAATGACTGCTATCAGGCCCGCACTCCGGACACTGCCCGGCTTCTATGCAGACGTACACTCGTACAACAGTCAGCTTTCTCCTTTCTATTCTCCACTTCCTTCTTTACAGAATAAATTGTTCCTACCACTCTGGCCTCCCACTTCTTCCCCTTCTCACAAGAAGCCGGGTCAGAAGATCATGCATGCAACGGTTTTTTCTATTAACATAACCCCCTGCGATAGACTTACGCAAGTGCATTATCATCATAAACTAGATTACATGTCAATCGCCCTCTGCGTGCCAATCATGTTATAGGGCACACTGAATGGTCATGCTGCCTACGAGAAGGTACCCAAAATAACACTATAATTAATTTGATCGCCTTGTGAAAAGCTCGGCTTCTAAATCCAAGGACACGTTCACGTTCGCCTTTTTTTCCTTTGGCACCACAGTGAACCAGCATTAGTATCTGCAAGTATTGCAGCGATTGCGTGGGGCAGTGAGACAATAAAAGGACCTGAATTGCTGCGATCTGGAGACTGGCTGCTTCATTACGAAAAAAGCGCCTGTTCGCTGCGTTCCAAGTCAACATGTTTTTTGTCGAAAAACGACATGACAGCAGTTTCTCTCTCCTTCCTCCCCCTCCTTTTACTCGCTCGACCTAGCTACCTATGATTTTTTGTCCATACGAATTAAGAAATAAACTAAAGTCAAAGCGTCCTTAGAAGATAACATAGAAAGAAAAACTCGCCGGGGACACTTAACGGCATTATTTCAGAAGAACATCAAAAAGTGTTTCTACCAGTGGAAAACACGTTGGGACAGTAATTTGAGGGGGGTTATTGTTTTTAGGGTGTTATCTTAAATATAAAAAAATGAAAAAAATAATTTTCATTTCTGATACTCCTACTGTCATCGCGGCAGGTCAAAACGGGGCGTTAAGCACCTCGACTCCTGTCATGTACGGTCAAGATGAATCCGCATGAGGCCATAGCTACTGCTGTTCAGCTGCGTAGCACTAGTAGACTAGGACTTATGGCACACCACTAACTCAACTCTATACAGATATCAATTGGTTCACAGTCTTGAACAGGCCATTAGTCCACAGGAGAGGGGAGAGAGTGAGATTTGTTCTGGCGAACCCCTTGTTATGGCAACCTAGTGCATTCTGCCCTTCTACTCAATCGGTTCACACACCTCGACTTCTTTCCCTTCTAGCATACAAGAACGAGGCTTTCAGAACAGCAGTATGTCCATTTCTCCTGCTCCTCCGATCACGCGACAAAGTCAGGTCTTCAAGGTGCAAATACAAAACCGATGGGCTTCCGTACAGAGGCTGCCTTCTCTGAGCGTTGCGATTGTGGGATAGTCTTTATTAGTGGTTTTTTTTTCCTAGACATGGTCACCAGATGGTCAGTTTCGAAGGACATGTAGTGAAGTGGTGAGTGGTTTGTTGCCAAATGTAAAAAGGCACTTGAAAAACTCTCGCATGCTTCCGATCTTTGAAAAAAAGGCCAGCAGTCAAGTGCGCAATCACCTCTCGAAAAGAATATCGGTACAAGTGAGCGACCACTGACCTTCCGAATCAGTTCTTAAAGTTTTCAATTTTCGCTGACGTTTAAGACTCGCTCTACGGAAGTTCCCACTCCGGTTCAATAGTTTCTGTGATATCACGGAATACTGAAGGCCTTCGAATGCTTTCGATCGGATCTGCTGCAAAACCATAGCTAAAGTGACGGGTCAGTGAGTGTTTACGGCGATACTGGAGGCACGTGACTGTGACGTGTTTTCGGTAGTTTTTTTTAAAACGTTTGTGCCCAGTGTGGCAGATTAGGTTGGACTTGAGGAAGTGTCTGCTTCCGGCGGCGACTCTGATTTTCAAAAAACAAAAGCCGTAACGTCTGTTAGCTAGTTTTCCAAGCTGTAAAAGAAGCCTTATATTGCTTCTCAGCAGATATACCGCAGAGAGTTTTATTAATAGGTAAAAACCCTAGCCAGTGCGATCTTCAGGCCCGGCTCCTCAGGTGAAGGAGAAGAGGTGGGAGGCCAGAGTGGTAGGAATAGTTTATTCTGTACAGAAGAAATGGAGAATAGGTAAGAGGAAGTTGACAGTTGGACGAGTGAAATCCGGCGACTAATTCACCGGGTCTGAAGCGACGAGAGCGTAGACAGTCACCGCAGTCAAGTCCTTCGTGAGTCGGTCTTGAAGGTGATTGGTCTGACTGGGGTAGACAGACAGGTGTTGGCGTGTGTGCACATGCTGGCCGGCCTCGCGAGACGCGTTCACACGGTCGACCCCTGAGCTAGGCCGAGACTGCAATCACGTGACCTCATGCATGACGAGGCATAGGAGGTCACTACAGGTACTCGATGTGCAGACGCAAAAGAGAGGGGTGTTGGCAGCGCCCCTTCAGTCAGCCGTACATGTGCTAGCCATCCATTGGCTGGTGGACACAGAAGCAGTGTTTAGTTTGTTTGTTCCGAAGAGGACAGACGTCCCAATAAGTCCACAAAACAAGTTGCGTGAATTGTTGATATACGAAAATGCACGAATTCCTACCGGAGATTATGATTTCGCGAGAGCTTGTATCGAGAAGTTGACCATAGGGCTGCGCATCGCCGTGAGATTCATGGTTGAAGGATGTTCAGACAATCGAGAAAACTTAGTAACGAAAACAGCGACGTGGTGTTGGGCGTGAAAATGTGTA